GTTTGAAACACAAGAAAGGACAGCTCTGTTCAGCTTCCTGCCATTGGAAGTGAGTCTCTGTGCTATTCCTTCAGCATTCAGGCATTGAGAACTGCAGAGGAGCTGTGGCCAAACTCACTCCCAGGCATCCTCAGCAATTTTCAGCTTTCTCAGTATTTTGATTCCCCATGAGAAGAAGGAAGAGAAGGACAAATGGCTAAAAAGAATTCAGCAAGTGGTACTCTCAAATCAGGGTACATCTTCAGGCATTCTCTAAAGTCCATGCAGATATTAAGGACTTGGTGTTAATTAACCTACTCTCTGTTCATCTTCACAGCTTTTGCACACTTAGAGGCCAAGCTGAAAGTCAAGTAGCTAAATGGTCCTAAGGGTAAATACCCATGGAAATTACACTTTCAATGAAGTAGAGGGCCGAAGAAGTGTTTGGTTTTCACATGAAAATGCTGTAATAGCTATTTAAACCAAGTGAAGTGTTTTCAAATCAAGTTTCAAAGTTCAGAGTGGATACAAAATAGTTAAATCAAGATCAGAATTCAAATTTGCAATTTGCATCTCAAAAGAATAAATAAATCAAGACCTTAAAGTTAGATCTGAATAATATGTGTGAGTGTGTGTGTCTGTGAGGGCATATATGCATAGGAACAGATGGAAAACTGAGGATGGCCATCAGGCAGCAGAACAAATTCTGGAACTGTAGGAGACAGCACCTGCCACTAAAGCAGTCCCACAACTGCATCCACTGAGCAAAGCCTCAGACTGGCTTCTAGCTCCTTGCAACAAGGCTGTGGAAAAGTGAAGATGCAGGCTGGCTGTCCCAGGTTTCTGGTGGCTTGCCACTGCTCACACATTTCCTTTCGTGTTTGTATTGCTAGAGAACATGCAGGTTTTCAAACTCAGCCAAGAAGATGCCTGAAGTGAAGTCAGATCAGTGGTGAGTGTATATGGCAAGTATTGACATTACACTGTGACAGGAAATGTTGCACCCCTGAAGACAAAACTTTTGCTTCTTAAATAAACAGTTTTTAAATATGCCTTGTAAAAATGACTTGTGTGTGCATAGTGGATAATGTCTGCAGTTCTTAGGGAACTGACTGAATTATAGTAATTCACTATTTCAGGCATCTTTGTTCTTGCAGAGCAAAGAACATTTCTGCAGCTGCAAGACATTGGTTAGAAAGATGTCCCTGTGCTTTGCTAAGAAGAGAAAACGTGGGCTAGGATTCATTGAATTTCTCAATCCTCTCCCCACACAGCAGAGAAAGCTGCTTCTAAGAGAAGCTTAAAATAAGAACTCTTCAATGATTAATTATTAAAGTACAGATTGTTAGGCTGGAATTCTAATAACTGTAATTTGAAGCCATCTGTCTGACACAGCTAACCCTATCATTAAATTCTTTCTAAAAATTGTTCTTCAAAAACCAGAGAAGGTGCTGAGCAGACTCTAATGGAAGGAAAGGAATGCATAATGGAGCTTTCTCTCACAGCTGACTGTTTCTGTGTTCAAGCCATTCAAGCCCTGTGAAGGTACCAATATGCCCTGTGCCCAGTGCTTGTCTGCTGAGGACATTGTCTGCAGCATAGCCACAGGCAGAGCAGCAGGTAGAAAGGAAACTAGCAGAAATCAAGCAACCATGTTAAGGCATTGAGCAAACAGAATGTATTTTGTAATTAAGGTGTAATAAGGGATGCAGAGCTCTTAGTATCTCCTGTGGTAGGATATACTGCTATCTAATAAGATATTATTGTAAGGATTGTGCTACAATGGATGAGAAGAGTGACTTATTTTAATGCATTTAGAAGATGATATTTGACAGTGTTGAGACTCTACTGCAATGATGTTTCTGAATGGGAATAATAATTAGGCCAAGGGACAGTGAGTAAAAATGTAGAAATTTGCAGATATGCACACGTGAGTATACACATCCTTCCATACATTCTATGTACACAAATAGGTTTGTACAGTATTTTTAATGTATCTCTCTTCATTTTATCTCTTGTCACTCTTGTGGAACTGTGTTCTTTTACCCTCAGCTAATCACACAGCGTATGTACTTATACTATACATCCTACAACAATAAAATACAGACCTGCTGTGGTTTTTAGTAGTACTTTACTTACACTTAGGAAGTTCTTAGACATATAAATCAGAGAATAGGTGTAATTCTGCCTACAAATGCGTACACAACTATCTGGGACCATAATGCCAAAGGTAATTTGTTGGATAAAGATCATTTTACTCTTTTATTTGTTTATTATATATATATCAGGAGTAGAGGTGGTCGGAAATTATAAACCAAACTCAGAACAAGCAAAGCTCCTGGGATAAAATTATAATAGATGCAGACAACTGTATTTAAGTATTCCTTGGAGAAATGCTAAATCCTTCAGCAGTCAGTTCATACTTGGTGGCAGGAGCAGGTCTCTTGCAGAGACTGTGAGGGAAGTAGGTCTGCCAACAAGTGTAAAAAGAAATCATGGAAGTATCACTTTATGCCCCTCTTACAGAATGTTTAAGACATCAGCAAGGCTACTAACCTCTTTAAAAATAGAGTCCTTGAATGTAAGAAAACTACTTTCTTTTCAAAAGGGAAAAGCTGGTGACATCAATATGTACTACCTATTATGTCAAAGTATGTATTATGTAATGAGTTTGTAGGACAACAGTGACTGTTTTCAAACAGCAGAACTGCATGTTGTTACATATTTTGGTTTTATATCTGGAGTACAAATATAGGTTGCCTCTGAGTGCAACCACTGGAATGCTGGACACAATAACCTTGTGTTCACGAAAAGAAATACTTAGAAACTTCTCAAGGTGAAGCCCTGTACCATTTCTGTCTTGGGGCACACTCAAGTCAGATGCTTCAAATACGTGTTGGAAGTTCATCAGCAATAGCCTTCTAAATAATCTGTCCGATGAGGTATCTGTATTATCTGAGGGCAATTTGGACTGAATTTACGGATGATTGGGAAATAAAAAAAAAATCTAGCAATTCAGATCCAAGATGAATGACATTTCTGCCCTTACTGAAGAGAAGATCAAAATAATGAAACTTACTCTCATGCCTGAACCTTGGCAATTGTGTAAACTGAAGAACTGAGGCTTTTCTTTTCACTGAAAGGTATTTCTAGCCATCAGAAGGAACTTCCTTAGTCTTTTAGACCAAAACATGCATTTTAAGCACTTCTCAGTGAGTTGAAAAGCACTGATTTAGGGTTCTTTGGTTGTTATTTTGTTTCAAAAGCTTTCATTCCAGAAAATTAGATCCAAAGCAATGCGAACGGGGGTCCAGACTGGACTAATGGCTTTTGCAGATGTTTTTTGTGTATAATAATTATTTTCACCTTATTTATGCTATTGAGTCTAATTCTAAAGACTGGTTGTATAATAACTGTTATTAATGTTTGTAATTATCAAAGATAGCAGTGGTATTTTCTGATTTGTTTTTATTTCTAGGAAGATGCCCTTTTCACATTGTTAATGTCAAAGTCGCCCCTATTAGTATGGTGTTCTACACTGAAAACAGTACTTGAAGCCATGGTCAGATTAATAATATTTATATGATCATTAGCTATTTTCTGATTATGATCCCATACGAAAACAGGACTTTCATACTGAATAGATAACATAATTCAAATCCCACAGTGGCTCCGAGGTTTTTAGTTTCTTTCTTGTTTCAGATGTGATGTTTTACTAGGTGAAAGAGTAAGAAGAGTGGGAATTATGCATCCAGCCTTCCTCCCAACTACATTCCAGGGCTGTAACAAGCAGCAGTCCTGGCGAGCGTAGACCACACTAGGGAAAATACAGCCATAATACAGTCATAAATTGAGGAAAACAAAACAGCCCCAAAAATAAGGGCAGGGTAAAATTAGGAGCTGGATGTAGCTGTGCCAGATCTGTGCCAGGTGGGGATTTGAATCAAAATCTCATATAGTGTTTTGAGACCAACCAAAGCTGCGTCAGTGTGCTAGAGCAAACTTGTCCCATCTAGAGGGTAGAAATGTTGCTGCTCCTTGAAATCACTGGGAAATGATTAAAGACACTCCTTGCAATACTGCTGGCAGCAAGAGCTGTGGCTCAGCTTGCTGGACTTGTTTGTCACTCTTAATTGGAAAACTCTCTTGAGTTTTAAGTGTGTGAAACTGTTTCTCTCTGTGAGTCAAGGTCAAAAATGCTTCGTGCTTCTTCTCTCATATATCTATAAATAAAGCTGAGCTGGAGATGCTACTGAGTCTTATGTACTGTACACTGTATATGCCAGTTTTTGTTTTGTGACTTGTTGCATAGGCATTTTCCATGCCATCTACCTGCTGTCAGTTGGAGTCTTCCTTTCTTTTTAAAACTTTCCTGTGAAGAGATTGCCTGATTGGTACTGAAATATTTCAGCTAGTTGACAATTTGACCTGCTGTGAACGCTGACTTCTCACCAGCTTGAAGCATGACTAGAACTCTGCTTCTGCTTTTCTACTTTGTATTGCTGATGCCAAATGATGCCAGAGAAGGGGCTCTAGATTTTCCTGGTGGGCCATATGTAACAGACTACACAAAAGATACAGGGAGCTTATGAGACAGTGTGCAACATCCTTTCATGGCAGAGGAATGTGACAAATTGCTTTGCCTTGCTGATTTCCAGTGGGCTCTCGGGTAAGTATTGAATCCACAAGAGCAAAAGGGATTTGTTAGAGAATGTAAGAATCGATGGCTGAAACACTGAAAATAGAGTGGCAAGGAGTTATTTTTAGCTCTTTGGTTTTGTTTTTCTTTCTTCTTTTTTATTAGGGGAAATGAATAGGGAATTAGATCTGGCATTGCTAGGTCAACCAAACGTTCATGTTTTGCTGTAATTTTTGGATTTTGTTTGGGAACTCCCCAGAAAAGCACAATTAGTGCTATCCATTACTTCCTCTAAACTGAAAGGTTTGGTTTTTGTTTTCTTGTTTTCATCGGGGATTTGATTAGGGTGCTCTTCTAACACTTACTGTTTTCTCCTTTTCAGAAAGTGTCCCATGTGATGCTTCAGAGGTTCAGTGCTCATTCCTATTACAGCCATTTTAGCACTTTCACACCCCTTTGATAATGAACAAGACTCAAAACATCATTGCTTTTCTCACTGGTAGCTAACTGTGGGCAAGGTTTCAAGGATGACATGAGCAGCTTCCTATTTATGGAGTTCACTTTACAGGCTTCTTCATCAACTCCATTAATATTTATATAAACTCAAATTGCTTTCAATGTCATTATCACAACATATCATTTTGCCTCACTGCACATATTGTAACTCCAAAAGGTAATTTGACAAGGTTAGGTCCTTATATATGCTTAATGATGTGTACATGATTTCAGCATTTGCTTAGATGTGTATTTGTATTTTGTATGCTCCTCTTGGCACTCTGACTGCCTATACTGGACTGAATATTCAAAATGAGGGTCCCTCCACACATCTTGTAATTGATGCTACATGGAGTGAGTGAGTTGCACTGATCACTCAACAGGCTTAGGGAATAGGGAATCTCAGCCATCCAGGAATCTGAGAAATGATTATGAACTGACCCAAAGGCAAATATTTCAGAATATTGCCAGAAGAGGAGGTGGCACATACTGGAGAGGCTCCAATATGTTATAAACTGCCAGAAAATGAGAAGAAATATGCCTTGTTCACTGATGGGTCCTGTCACATTGTGGGAAAGTAATGGAAGTAGAAGGCTACTGTATGGAGTCCTATATGATGATCTGCAGAAGCTACTGAAGGAAAGGATGAATTGAGACAATTTGCAGAAGTGGAGTCCATCTAGCTCTACCTTTACAGTGACTCTTGAATGGTGGCAAATGCCCTGAGGGGATGGTTACAGCAATGGAAGCAGAACAGCTGGCAGTACAGAGGAAATATCCTCTGGATTGCTGCATTGTAGAAGGGTATTGCTGGCCAGGTAGATAACCTGATTGTGAAGGTACGTCATGTAGATGCTCATATACCCAAGAGTTGTGTGACTGAAGAACCTCAAAACAATCAGCAGGTGAAAGGCTGCTAGGGTTGAAATGGCTCAGGTAGACTAGGACTAGCAACATAAGTGTGAACTATTTTGGTCTCAGTGGGCCCGTGACACTTCTGGCCACCAAGGAAGAGATGCAACATATGGATGGACTTGGGAGCAAGGGGTGAACTTAACTATGTGTGTTATTGTACAACTAAGCCATGAATGTGAAACATACTATAATTAAGCAAGCCAAGCAGATGAAACCTTTTTGGTATGGAGAAAGATGGCTACAATATAAATACAGGGAGGCCTTGCATGTGGGTTACATCACTCTCCCATAAACCTGCCATGTCAATCACCATTTGTTTATGGTGGATGAAGCAACCACCAGATGGCTGGAGACATATGCCATGCCACAGCACAAAATACTACCTTGAAAAGGAAGTCTTGTGGTGACATGGCACACCAGAAAGAATTGAGTCAGACAGCTGGACTCATTTACAAAAAAATCTCATAGACACCTGGGCCAAGGAGCATGGTATTGAGTGAATATATTACATCCCCTATCATGCATCAGCCTCTGGAAAAATTAAATGGAACAATGGACTGTTAAAGACTACGTTGAGAGCAATGCGTGCTGGGACATTCAAACATTGATATACAGAGTTAGCAAAAGTCTCCTGGTTCGTCATTACTTGGCGATCTGCCAGTTAAGCTGGTCCTGGCCAGTCAAAACTCCTGCATACCATAGAAGGGGATAAAGTTCCTATGGTGCATATAAGGAACATTCTGGGCACAACAGTCTGAGTTATTCCTGCCTCAGGCAAAGGCAAACCTGCTTGTGGGCTTGCTTTTGCTCAAGGGCTTGGGTGCATGTGGTGGGTAACACGGAATGATGGGGATGTCTGGTCTGATCTACCTCAAGGTGATCTGATGCTAGGTAAGAACAACCAGGAATTCTGTGATGTTAAATTATTACATAATACTGCATGTCATCTTTATTATGGTCATTATATGTCTTGTTAACAGCAGTACAGTAAAAACTACCCAGGTTAAGGAAAAATGGACTCAGATGGAACCAGAATGATTTTCTACATGCAGTAATCCAATTCTGTGAATCCCTCCTCCTACATAGAAGGACAGATAAAGATAAGGCCCGAAGTTATGAACAGAATGAATACCAGGGGCAATTTACGTGAAGGGCCCATAGACTATGGGAATAATATGAATGCGTATATATATATCGAAAAGCAAGGTAGATTATAGTAATGAGGGCAGTTAGGATGTGTAGAAATTGTAATGTCTGAGTATGATGGAAATAGTATGGAGTAAAGGGTGTGTATTGTCTTAGTTTCAGCTGGAACAACATTTCTCTGAAACAGTATCAGGTGTGATGCCACATTTTGGTTCTAGGAGAAAAACAATGTTGACAACACACTGATGTTTATAGCTGCTGCTAAGCAGTGTTGTACAGAGCCAAAATCACACTCAGAGAAGGACCCAAGGAGCTGGCTGGGAACAAAATTAGGATGGCTGACTTAAACTGGCCAAAGTGATATTCCGTATTGTATGACATCATGCAGGAGGAGTTTTGAAAGGGGTAGGAGTTCATCTTTTGCTTTTGCACTACTCAGGGGGCTATCTGGGCATCAGTTGGGGGATGTTGGGCAATTACTTATGCATCATTTATTGTATAAATTTATATGTATATGTTTGTAATAATTTTCCTTTTCTCTGTCTTAGTAAATAGTTTTATCTCCAACCGTAAATTCTACTTTCTTTTTTTTTTCCCCAATAATTTTCCTCCTTTCTACTGGGAAGGGAGGAGGTGAGTAAACAACTCTGTGGTGCTCAGACACCTACTGGGATAAACCACATTGGGCTTTAGTGGAAAATGCTATAAGACATCCACCTTAGTCACTGTTGAAATATCTTTCAAATGCAGTCTCCCACACTGCGTGCTACATTATTAGCAAACAAAGTGAAAATGCAGAATGTCTGAGTACCTAACAAGTCCAAGCTCACATAGACCTTCACAGCTATGTGTTAAGCCAACTTGCTGAAGTTACTGTACCTAGTTAATTATGGCTGATGGCAATAATTTGGGCATTTTTATTTCGAGTGTTTTTGCTGGAATTCTCATAAACCTCTGGTTACTTGAAATTTTCAATGTTCATTTTTCTATTCAAACCTTGACAATGACCTATAGCACTCTCCTATTCTTTTCTAATAGCCATGTCTATGATATCATAAACCAAAAGACCACATTAATTATATGAATATCTTGTATTGTCAGGCTCTGTGCCGCACAATTACAGGCAAACTGTGGTAAGTTTTAATTACTTGAGCTGTGATTTGAATTACTGTTCTTTCAGTTTGATACTTGTATCCGTTGGAATGATGAGCATCAAACATACGCAGTGTCACTTTCAGTCCTGCTTAAGATCATTTGCAACAGGAGAAACACTCATTGCAACAGATTCTGCACACATGAAACATGAAGTGATGCTTGAGCTGCAAGGCACATAAGTTTATTTTTATGCTGTTCCCAAATATATGCCCCTAAAGCCCATTAATAAAGCTCTGAACTGACTGCAAACTGATGCCATTTCTGTTTTAGCAGTCACCTATCAAATCATGCTAGAGAATATTTTATTTGCAATTAAAGTCTCTTGGAAGAAGCTCTTCTGGCACTTTATAGAAAACATAAGACTATTTATCTACAAAAGCATTTAATTTAGTGTGAAATCCAAATAAATCAACCGTATATATTTTTAAATCAACAATAAGAATGTGATTTATGAGAAATTAAAAGTGGTGAAGGCATAGTAAGAGAGATGAAGATACCTGAAAAAGTCCTACTAAGTTAAAACTTGTTCAAGCATTAGGAACTTAATGCATGAAAAATGTCTAAAATCCAAAATGTGACACTACAGGATGTTCCCCAAGGATGCATGTTAGCCTGTGATCAGCTTTTAAAACTGATAATTTCCACCCACTTTGGCAAATACTTTTTTAAAAAAAAAAAAAAAAAAAAAACTGTCAATAATAGCTTTATATCTTAGTTCTCCAAAATTCATCTCAAATAAGATCATTGTATCCTGTGAGCCATGAAAAGTTGATATGGAAGGAAAGAGAGACAGGAGAAAGTATTTTATTCTTTTGTATTGGTTCGGGATTTTTTAATAGAGTTTCTCTTATTTCCTGGTATATAACAGATGGAAACGGGCTCACAAAAGAGACAGCTTTATGAGTAGAAAATTTTTCTCCTTATAATTTGTATTATTATGTATAAAATAAATCTTTCTAATAATATTTCAAGAATTTAGGTCAGTTTACACTTTAAATATCTTTCAAATTCACAGTTATAACAAGTTAATCTTTTTGTCTACTATTTTAAATCTTCTCTTTGGCATTCTGCTCAGCTAATTATGACAAGCCAGAAATATTCCATGGTTCTGGGTTCTCTTTTTAGATAAGTATTATTATTTTTAATATTATTTAATTAAAATATGTAGGTTTTTTTCATTGTAATAGGATATGGGCTGGTGTCAAAGCGCTTATTGCATACTGACTCAAGCATTAGGCAGGGAAAAGTGTGTAAAGAGAAAGGCCAAGGGACAATTTATTGCATATGAAACAATCCTACCTCCTCCATGAAGCTTTGTAGGAGTGCTCCTCTGGAGACTTGGCTCCCAGTGCCAGCACCATGCATTCTTGCCCTTGAAAGAGTTTCTACTCATGTCACCCATGTGCCAGCCACACAAGGGAGATTGTCCCCTCTGCTCTCTGCCTTCATGACACCCATCTGGACTGCGTCCAAGTCTGGGGGCCCAGCATGAGACAGATGTGGAGCTGTTGGTGCAGGTCCAGGTAGACCTAATTTCAGCCTTTCATTATTTAAAAGGAGCATATAAACAAGCTGGAGACTGTCTTTTTTGCAGGCGCCATCAATAGAAGTGGTGACACTGCTCCATTACAAGATCTGCCTCAGAGTACTACTGTATTTCCAAACTTCTAATATGAATGGAAAAAGGAAAGAAATGTAGTTGTGTTAAATGTCAGCACAGCAATATGTTGGTGACCAAGCATGGTGCATGACTAAATTTCATGCTTCCCTGAATCACAAATAATTTACAGAGCTATCGGGCCACTGGTTTAATTTTCCTATTAAATTGGCAGTCATTTGACCCAGGAATTTGCCATTTAGATTGTTGAGGAAAAAAAGAAAAAAAATCTCTGTTACAGGATTTTTTTTTTTTCCATTTATACAAAACAATCAAATGGCACAAAAAGTTTTATCGTTTAAATTGAGAGCTGTATGACACTCATTATACACGAAACTTTTTCACTGCAGGACTTGTACTTGCAGGTGCATTATACACATAGAAAACAGCGTTCTACTTGCTTACCTTTGGGTAGGCTTAAAGCAGCTTGCTCTCCTTTTAAAAAATTAAAATGGAAAAACTACCACAATTTGTGAAGGAAATTACTGTTTTACTAGAACTGCAAACACACTAGCCTAAAGAATTGCTGGCCAACATACTAAAAAAATGTACAAAATGTAGTAATTTGTGCAATAGCTTTTAGCCTATATTTATTTTAATTTAGATAAACACAGAGCAAATAATTTTTTTAGTATGAATGCTTTTAAATTCCATCACTTGGTGCCGTGTCCACCGCCCTCTGGTGCGGTAGCTGGGGGCTAGGGTGTCCCTAACCCCCAGCTGCCCTCCCCTGACGCAGCTCCATGCCATTCCCTCAGGCCCTGTCGCTGTCACACCGAGCAGAGCTCAGTATTGCCCCTCTGCTCCTTGTGAAGAGCTGCAGCTGCCATGAGGCCTCCCCTCAGCTCCGTTCTGGGCTGAACCAACCAGGGGATTTCAGCCACTCCTCATACATCTTGCCCTCCAGACCCTTTCTCATCTTCCTAGCTCTCCTTTGGATGCTGTCCAACAGTTTTGTCATGGCACCCAAAGCTGTGCTGGAGGTGAAGCTGTACCAACATAGAGCAGTGTAGAACAATCCCTTCTCTTGACTAGGAGTGCTTTGAAGTATAGAGGAAAAAGTCTAGATCTGATGCAAGAGGAGAGAAGAGGGACTGAAATTAGGCAGTCAGCTCTGTGCCTCTAATTGGAGAGAGAAAGGTCTTGACCTAAGCTGCCAAATTTACAAGAAGACTGCAATAGATTTAAAATAAATGTGGTATGGTGCCAACAAGCTTAGCCAACGGAGGAGAAATTGATTTGTTGTTGCACCATTAAAGGAGATATTGTTCAGTTTCTCTATAAAGCCATGTGTTTCCTATCCCAAAGAGGCATTTTCCCAGTGGTATCTATGGAGTGGTGCAGCTGTGCTGTAGTCCTGAATACAGGACAATGTCTAAATAGCACAGACAAGTGCCACAATGAGGTTTTGAGGCCTCAAGTGCAAAAAACAAAACAAAACGAAAGACCCTATCATATTTTCTTATTCTCCTTTATTCAGTGCCAAAGAACAAGGACCAGAAAATGAATCAATCCTCTTAGGTCAGTGGAAAAACAGTCAACAAGAATTAAACATTCTCAGGATAACTGCTTTCCCATAGACCTCTCTTCCAATAGGAGTGCAATTCCTTATCAATCTGTTCTCAACATTTTGAGGCAAATGGTTATTTTAAAGGAAGATCACCCTTATATAAGATGAGCACTCATTTGTTCGTCTTGTCTCAAGTATGCTCCTACCTTCTTCAACCTCCTTTGTTTTTTTTTATCTTATTTTTACATTATGCCATGCTTGAATGCAAATTCCCACTCCCAAACATAACTGAGGAGAAGCTGGAGGAGGAGAAAAGTTTACCTACGTGATGTTACTTGCAATATCCAGGACACCAATGACAAATGACAATTGACTGGAATATGCCAGTAATAAAACCTCCAAAATATACATCACCTGAGTGGCCACTACATAAAGTGGCATAAAGGATGCTATCCTGATCACCTTCATCTCACTAACCATTCTGACAGTGGAGTGCAGCACCCCAAAAGTCATTGGGAGAATCAAATTAAATTACAGACAGCATTTACAGAAGATGAGTTGTATATGGGTGATATATACACTTTTTTTTTTTTTTTTAATAAAGAATATCTGATCTAGTGGGTAGCAATCCTTCCTACAGTAGGGGGTTGGAATAGGTAATATTTAAGATCCATTCCAATTCAAGCCATTCTATGATTCTATGATATTGAAAGATAGAAAACAATTGGGAGGACTCCTGCTTGCAACAATTGCATGTGGAATATAAGGGGATTAATACTGCTCAACTGCCACAGTAAGTAGTTATTTCTTTTACTACATTACAACGTTAAACAAGCAAGAAAAACAAGCTTTTGGCATGGAAATAATCTGCATAATATAGGCCTTCAGTGGTAGTACCTCATTCAGCTGCCTGTTCTTCACTACACAAAATAGGATAATATAATGAAATATAACAGGATTGCCTGTTTTTTGTGAGTAGGTGCACAAATATATAAAAATAATAGTAATAATAATTGTAGAGCATGTCAAATAATGCATCTTCTTTTTAGCACCTCTTAAGTTTGTTTGTGTTTTCTGCAGATTGTAGTGTTTAGAGGAGATATAAGAATAGTGAATTAACTCATAAATTGTGGGCTGCAATGTGCCTGCTAAGCTTGCACGCATGTTTGAAAGACTATTGAT